GACATACATTTTCCATACATATATATATATACAAAATGGAAGGAAAAATTTGCAGACTTCAACTAATGTTACCAATTCTGATACATATCATAATTTAAGCAGAAAGATACAGAGCCAAACAAAAACATGGAACTCCATTCCTATTTGACAGTTGTTATCAAAAGCTATCAATATCAGAAGGAAACAGTTAACATAAAGTCTGAAGAAAACAAAATCAACTCTTTGTTCCATGGAAAACTCAATCTTCAACAGTAACACATCCGTTTATGGTGTTGTTTTTGTGTATAAATTGTGGACTGTTGCTTATGGACTATAGAGCATCAATTAGATGATGGGCGGTTTGGGACGAGAAGAATTTGGGCATGGACGGTTATTAACAAATTGAAGAAGCATTTTATTCTCATTCCCCTAGTTACTTTTTGGGTAGTGTAGAAAGAGAGAAACAGGAGGGCTTTGAGAAGGTGTAAGATGTCTTTAGTAGAGTTAAAAATAGATGGTTCCAACTTCTGGATTTTTGATTATAGGTCATCATCTTTATTTACCGGAGGATTTTAAAAACTTTATTGATATATTGATCGATATGTAATATTTTTATATATGGTTTTATACTTTCTTGGTGCTTGTGAATTAATCTTTCCACACTATTTTTATTTTTTTAAAAAATATTTTATATTAATTTGACGAAATCTTCACTGAATAGGTTGTTACTATTATTACTAAAGGATTTTTTGAGAAAATGATATATGTTAAATAATGAAGCCAAGTAACTAATCATCACAACAGCTTAATCTAGTGAGAACTGAGTCCTCGCATTACTCTCATATTATATATCATACGCCATTCACTATGTTAGAATTGTAGAAAAATTTAGGTTATATTTATGCTGAATTTTAGTTTTGTACAGAAATGAGGAAGTTCGATTCTAGCTCTTAATTCTTCAAGTGTAATATCATGTTAACTACATGTATTGGGGATTGATTATCTTAAAATATTAAGTTGATGTGAAAAATCAACTTATTATTTTTATATTATAAAAGTATAATTGCTAGACCGAATCATGACTTGCTATGCGTCCCTTCTTTGAGCCACATCACATAAATATTAAATTACCTATCTTGTCCAAGTGATTAGCCTGTTATGGTTATTCGTTATGATGTGGGGTATGTGGCGATCAAATTTTCTTGCATGAAGGTATTAGAATGGAGTGGATTATTTTGGTTATCTGGTATTGAAATAATCTGAAAACCTTCTTTAAGGATGAACTAAATATGATAGATAAAGAGTGCGAAGTCCTTCCACTGCAGTGGCTATGAGTTTTTATTTGTTTCTGTGATGTCTGATTCTTTAACTCTTTACCTATTGTATGCAGTACAAGGAAGCTATTTTGATGTACGCAGTCCTGCTTAAAGGGGAGAAGAATCAGGTTTGCTCCTACCATAATTCCATTCCATCTTTGTCTATTGATCACATTAATTTGTTCCCTCATCTTTTTCTATCGGGCACTTTGTGATTAAGGTAGAGAAAGTGCTCCAACATGAGTCGAGATTCATATTTAAACATCCTGTTTGCCAGAAGTCCTAATTTTTTAAGGTTACTGATTTAAGATTAATCTTTTTATGGTTGACTATAAAAGTTTTCAAGAGACATCGTTTCTTATTTCCTTGGGAAAGTGAAAACAATAACTTTTGGCTTGGTATACTAAATTCAGGACGTCACCAAGCTTGTTTCTGACTAATAGGTTATTTGCTACAAAAATGTTGGAGACAGATGTGAAAGATTTATGTACGATGTGTTCAAGGCAAAGGTAAAAAGGCAAGGAGTTTTTGTCTTCTAATAACCATATATGACAATTAATTTGGTAGAAGATGATGCAGGTTGAAATGCCGGTTGAAAAGGCAATTGAGACATTGACAAGGCTAGGATTAGTGTCAGAGTCGATTATTGATGTAAGAATTCGGCTGCAAGTTCTTCCTTGTCTAGAAGCATACAAAGCTCTCAAAGAACGTTGGAATAGTTTGCTCAGCTAGTATATTCAACAGATGATCCAATCTATTCTTTTCTTTCTGGAAGACACTCTGATCGCTGTTTAGCATATAGTGCCAGTATATATGGCAATTCACAATAGATTTCCAAATTAATATTACACAGGCTTAATTCACCAACTGTTTGTTTTTATATTTTTTTCTTGGGGAAGAAGAGGATGTTAGGCTCTTCTCAAAGTTGTATATGCTGTAGCATTCTTAATTTTGTAGAAATTTCTATTTGGACCTCAGTTAAGTTGTATATGTTGTTTATAAATGGGTATCTAATTGTCTATGTTTGTTGCTCTAACTCAAAAGCTTGTGAAGTATCTTTTAGACTAAAGTTCAATTATCTTAAAGAGTTTTTTTTTTTTTTTTGATAAATCAAAATACATTTACATAATTTAGAATTAATTTTTTTTTTCATAAGTTAACTAACAAGTTATTACCAGGAAGTTATTTCGGACCTTTTCTACATTAAATATCATTTTTTTAAAAAAATTATATATACATTGAAGGATAGTGGCCTACCTACTATCCCAATGCTTACATATGTGCAGAGATTCTATGAAACAAGATTGCTGTGAAATCTACAGGTTTTTTTTACGTGGGTAGGTAAAAGTTATGAGACAATTTTACAGTTTTAATAAGACAAAAAGAATAGCCGGTTGTAATTCTTGAACTCTCCATACTGAGAAAATGTTCCTTCATCTTGGGCACCCTAGACCATATAAATCTTGATTCATGATACTTCATCTATTCATATAAATTAGGTGTTATGGTCCTCCGAATGGATCTTGTTATGAACCTATGAACATAAAAATTAGTAGAGTTTAGAAGTTTTTGAGTTTTTTCTTCCTTTGCCCATTCTAGAAATTAGTTTAAAGGCTCTGGGAGAGCACTCAAACTTCTTTGTAAAAATTTTCATGAAAAAATCTGCCTGGAAAGACAGTGCCTTTATTACAATAAAAGAGTAGTTAGTTATTTCCAAAATTATCTTAACCACTCTCGTCCTAATCCAGACTTATTCTGCCTTATTTCGACATAATTACGACTATCATGCATAATACATCATTTAAGACACAAGTAACACTTTATACATAACATTCACACATAAAACTTTACACATTATACAATTACATAATCTAACATCACGAGTTCATGATCATATAAATCATGTGTTTGATCACAGGAAACAATAAATCAATGTTGTTCCTCACAATTCAAGAGGCTGGGCCTTCGTAAACACAAATACTCCTCCACCCCCAACAGCTCGGCCAAGAAGCATATGACGGTCTAGATAAGAAAGATAGTATAGTCCACCCACTGATCTCCTGCAGTTTAGATATTCTCTCGTTTATGTCAGATATAGAGAATCACATTTTTTGATAAACCAAACAAGGTCATAACATATGTGATTTACCTTCCTGGGTTTGGATTTGTTACAGGAACTTGGGCTTTGAAAGCACGTATAAACTGCAAGATCTGGGCATTAAAGAGAGACAGTTTTTAAAGAAAATTTTGGAATTAGTTATTGACTTCTTTACTCTGACAAATATTTGATTTTCAACTTACACAACTATCATGGTCAGTGTCCTTAATAACTTTTTACAGCTTATCAGACATTTTCAATGAAAAATAATACCACCCAAAATCAGTAATCTACATTTATTTACCTGTAGACTTAGATATGATCGTGGAAGTATCGCTGGTGCTATGAGAGCTTGCAGCTCTTCACTGATTTTTATGCTTTGAACAGTTACCTGCCATTATTTAGCTGTGAGCTCCTTTTTTCCCCTTAAATGATAACCAATACTGTCTTCCCAAGGTAATAACAAAAATTAACCGACGGAAAGTGCCTGATTGAATTAATCCTCATGTAACAAATAGGTACGAAACTATAAATCTGCCACACTACAGAAGATAATTTCCTTTCAACTGGTTTGAAGATATCAAATATCTTAATAGAGAAAGTCACTTCATTTGCTAACGTAAGTCTACCATCTTGAGTACATCTTGGAAGCCTCAAGTACATAGCTACTGTAAAACAGTTATAGTCCATGTATTTCATCATTATGTAGTGGTTCAGGTTACCAAATTAAAATATGTTCCATTTAGGGCAGGGCAACTGACCTCCTCAAACTGAAGGTAGATGTTACGGACAGAAACAAGATCAAATTTTGCAGAAACAACGAGTGTGGCACCTTCTTGTTCCTGTAAAACATAGGAATCAAAAGCTTTATTCAACATAACGTGGCCTAAATTGTCTATGAATATGGACTATCTTCAGGAAAGGTATCCAGTGAAATGCAACTGAAAGAGCCCCAAATTGAATAACTCTGTCTGATCACAAGCTCCCAAGTATAAATGTTTATGGCTTTGTTTTCTTCCAAATTTCATATGAAAAAAGTGACACATCAACTAAGACGACTTTTGGCAAGAAAACGTCTAGATTAGAGAATGAACGAAACAAATTATCAAGATTACACTGACCTGTGAACAAATGAAACAAAGGCATTGCAAACGAAAGAACCTAATGAAAAAAGAATAAGAAAGATAAAATTCTATGCATATGGATGCAAATAAATTCCCATGAATCAGGGTGGTCCTCCTATCGTTGTTTTTTGGGTTTGTAGAGGGAAAACACTCGTGATGTGCAAGATTTACTAAGATTCAAGAAGGCGAATTGAGAAGACAGAAAGGCAAAACTTTACCTCTAATAATGTTGGAATACTCCACTTAACAACATTACGGACAATGCCTCCATCAGTCCTATCCAGGCATTCAAATTTCTGGAAGATCTGTCCAACCTGCTCGAATAGTCAAGCACAACAAAATTAAAGAAAGAAGATAACATTTGGAAAGAAGTCAATTTATTTAGCAAATGATATTTGTCAAAATTCTATTTGATTCAACTTATTTTGACATAAGAGCTCATATTTATAAACTCTATAACAACATATAAGCTAATATAACTTTTTTTAAAAAGAAATAAGTCGATAAAGTGTGGGTAACATGCGTCTTTTGTATTAGTTTATTTAAGCATTTGGTAAAGCTAATACAATCTTTATTTTCTACTTTCTGTTAATACTTAATTATTTAATTTGACTCTTAAGTTCTTAGTCTTTTACTAAAAGTGTAAAAGAACTTAAAACGTTTTATACTGTTCATAAAATTGTGTTGACAAAAAAAAAAGGCTAACTCAAATTATCAAAAGGGGTAAAGAAGAAATTTTTTTTTAACAATTAACTAAGATAGAAAGCAATTAGAATAAGGATCAAATGCTATTTTGGAACAAACCCTTAAATGTCATAAATTCATTTGCAAATTCATATATAATTCAATTAGCGTAGGTAGTAAATTATATTAGAATGACAAAAAAATTTAGTTCCCGTGAAACTCCATATGAAATTAAAACAATATTCCAGATTCGATCAAAATTACTTTGACAATAGCAAACATATAAATCAATATCTTAATTACCATCCATCCTGTAGCAAATTCTATTACATTGCGCTTGTTTTAAATTTTTTCTATTCTAACTCAATTCTTGTATCGTATTTATTGCTTATGTATAAACGACTTATAATTTATACACTTTATGTATAATAAGAATGCATTTATATTTCCACATGTTAAGTAAGAAATTACATAAATAATCAACTTGAATTGGAACTGAAGTGCTATTTTTATCCAAATTTAAAATCTATTTGTATGGATTCTTCATTCATTCCTGCCTAATTTATTGTAAATGGCAAGTAAATTATGATACTGAGGCTGATAGAAAAGCAACAAAAGGAGGTAAAATGATCGTGGCATGAATGAGAAAATTTGAAATGCCGAAAATAACATTTTCATTAGTAATACCTGAAAGAAAGGAAGTCTTGCAGCAGATTCCAAAAGAACAAGGACATCAGGGGCAGATGTATACTGCAAGCGCCAAGTCCCATCCAACATCACCAGGTCAATTGGCGCACCATTGTTGTACCCCTCCACGCTAACCTGCCAGAGTTATGCCTAAAATACTACATAATTCAACTTCATTTCCATATTCCCCATTACTTTTTGACCGAAGAAAATGAGGGGAAGCAGACCAGAGCTTCCTCAATGACAGAGCGTTGATCAGCCGTTGCAACGAGACCTCGTTGTGTGTCTTGGGTTGCTCTCAACAGCTCCTGTTTTTTGTTCTCTAAACCAAACTCAGACACCTGGAAAACTAACAAATCCAAATAGCAGGCGAGGAGAACAATAAACAGTGAGGAGATTTAGGGAAAAAACGGAATCGAAGAAGACAAACCCGAACGGTGTCATTGGCCACAGCCATTGAACATGAAAATCTCCTGCGAGCTGGGAGGATATTTGTGCCCTTGAGGTTAAGGTTTAACCAAAAAGGGTTCACATTGCCAAAACCACTCTTCCCTTTTGCAGGGTATAAAGGGAAAGTGAAGGCTAATGCTTGCATTTCTTTAAAAATAGGTTTCAATCGCCACTATCAACAGCTGAGTAAATCGAAGCAAAGCACAAGCTCTAATCCATGCGCTCAATGTTCGTATCCTGAGTCCAGTGTCCTACAACGCAAACAATTAGCACAAAAGCCGAAGCTGAACAATTGACGAAACTTGAGATTCAATTTAGTTGACATCAATTGATATTTGGTTCATACAATAACAAGATTGGGTTTTCACGGACTTCAGCAGATGGGCAATGGAAATTTGGCCTAATAATTTCTTATCAAGGAAGTTTATGAACATGTTTAATTGATTTATCCCATTAGATTGGACCCATTCCCTCCATTCCTTTTTTTCCCGCTCCGGGTCCAAAATGACCCGATCCAACTGGATCACGCGGCTAGCTTTTTACCCGATTCGGCCCTACCCGAATCCATGCACCCGTACTGTTACCATCGTCGACGATCGAGGAAGCTAATTCCTAAATCATCGTGCCAGAAAATGGCGAGTAGTGTATCGGTTAGTGTTAATCTTTATTACATATTAGCCCACAAAAGCGCTGCCCTTGTTGGGAGATTACCAAAGAGGAGAACGCTCTCGCATCTTGTAGGCTTGAAGTCCGTCAAGTTTAGTCACCGGAACACCGGGATTTGTTTTACCACAGACGCCTTTGTCGTCGCCGATGACGCCAAGTACGGGAATAAACAGGTTATCAGCCTCACTCCTCGCCTTTACGACTACGTCATCGCCAATGTTCGCGAGCCCGAGGTATCTTCAATTGCCCTCTTTTCCTATCTCACTCAGTCTCTCTGTGTATGCTTTTGCCTAAAAAAACGAGTGTTGGTTTAGGCTTTCAGTTATTTTTCTTGCGCTTGTGATTCCTGCATGTGTTTTAGATTCTGCGGCAACTCCGAGAAGAGACTGCCAGTATGTGTGGAAGTCAAATGCAGGTATTCATTCCCGCAAAACTGTTTTGTTTTAATGTTATTTTTCTTCTCTATGTCTCACTGACAGTATGGACTATGGAGACTTTTTTTGGTTATAGGCATCCCCTGATCAGGCACAACTGCTTGCAATGCTTGTACAGATTCTAGGCGCCAAAAGGTGCATTGAAGTTGGTATCTATACGGTATTGTCTCTGTTTGGTGCCTAATTCACCCAACAGATTACATTCTACTGTTTCTTTTCTAATCTTTATGATGTGTGTCGAAAACTAAATGCTGTAGAAATTTGGCTTTGTAGTCACTTGTTTGGTTATTGAACTAATGTAAAGAAAATTTGACCGGCCAAAATTATCTATTTGTTTCACATGTTCAAACTTATGAAACTTGGATCGGAAGGATGGGTTACCTAATAATTAATTTTTTCACATTTCCTTTTAAGTTCTTGTTTTTGCAATGTTGGGGAAAGCTGCTGGATTTCTTGTAAAAATGGCCAATAATTTTTCAGATGAACTATTGCCTTTGATACCGTTTCCTCCATTAGAGTCTTGATTTGGAGTAAACTTAGATTTAAAAATTAGTATGTGCTCTATCTGGACTGCTTGATTTTCTTGTGTGGTGGGAGCTTTTACAATTTCAATTCCAGCCTTGAGATATTCCTGGATATTCATGTAAAAAACTTCCACACAAGTAAGGAATGAGCACAAGAGATCTGTTTTCTCCTCTACCATATATTGTTCTGATTGAAATAGAGGAAGTGATACTATGAAGTGTGATGATCTAGTGGTGAAGAGGTCAATAAAAAACACTTCAGAAGTTTGGTTCTGGACTGGCAACATCTCTCGCTTAATACCAGTTATTCAATAAGCTTTTGACCTGTCTACATAAAGAATGTAGCAGCCCCGGTAATTCAAAAAAAATGGAAATTATATTATAAATATTAAATGCGGAAGCGAGATCAAAATTTCAGTTAACATCCCTTACACGAAAACAAAAAACGTACTTAAAGTATAAAAGATTAAACTAACTAAGAGAGAAACTCGAAAATAAAACTATGAGTATGACTACAGAGTCTCTAGGCATCCCCTTCGTCGTCCTCCTGCGGAACGGGCTCGGGAACCATGTCTTCCTGATCTGAAATGGTTAAATAAGGAGTGAGCTATACTAGCCCAGTAAGGACATCACGATATCTCACCGTCACGGAGGTAAAGGTGGGTAGAAAAACACAAAAGACCAATGGAGCATGATTTACAACAAATCCTTTTTATTTATGATAAAACCTTTACCATCCACTCACCTCGGTGGAATTCATGAAGCAATATAAGAAAACAATAACATTATCACAAACATGGAATAATATAAGCTGTAAAACATAGCACTTATCACGCCTTTTGTAATTCAATCATTATACAACATATCCTTTTCTCATTTACCAGCCTACTAGTATCCATGGGGGTCCATAGGGGTCCCGCTACCCGTTAACCTTTAACATTCATAATCAGTTTCCAGGGCCGTCCCCATACCCCGTCCGGTATGGGTGCCAAAACCATAAACCTCAATACCCCGTCCGGTATGAGGGTGAAACGGGCCGTCCCCATACCCCGTCCGGTATGGGCGCCAAAACCATAAACCTCAATACCCCGTCCGGTATGAGGGTGAAACGGGCCGTCCCCATACCCCGTCCGGTATGGGCGCCAAAACCATAAGATCTCCATACCCCGTCCGGCATGTGAGACCACAATCCCGGTAGGGTTCCCTACGGACCCGGTCCGTCCACCATCTCCCAGGATATCTAGTTAGGCTAACCCCATCATACAATTATCAGTCTACACAATCTTACATTTTCCTTTTCCTCAATAAGCATCATCAATTCACATTTAAACAAGCAAATCGTAATTCATGCCAAACAGACAACATACAGTATCAGTTCTTCACTCTTTCAACCCATAATTAATAAAACAGTAATATATGCACTAGAAACTATAAAATGAACACATCAAATCTCATAATGCATTTAAAGCTGTAAAACAGGCCAAATAACAGTAAATCATAAATCACACTAGACTCGGGCTCCATTAGCAACCTTAAACAATTTCACACATGCGTTAATTCAAGAAATACCGTTTTATCATTTTGAAGTTTAATACCGTGATAGGAAATAGGGTGAGGGGTCCTTACTTGTTTTTGGGATCCGAATACGATTCACAGTGCGCCTACAGGCCGTCCCTAATTTTCCCTAAATTTTTCTCGGGGAACTGAAACACACTAACGGTACCTGCACGTATTCCAAAAATCTCAAATTAGGCTCAGGGCCCCTTTTTGGCCAATATCGCAACTCCGGCACGGCGGCTCCGCCGTGCTCCGGCGACGGCGCCGCCGCTTGCGGCGGCGATTCGCCTTGGGTTGGCTGTTTTCGGCCGTTTCTGGCCGAATTCGGCCACACTCGCATCGGTCCCTGCGAGAAAACAACCCTAGGCCCTCGGGGGGCCAAAAAATCACGGAGAAGCGGAGCTTACCGGCGGCGACGCTCTCGGGTGCGGCGGCTCTCCGGCGAGGTTCGTGGTTTGGTGATTCGGCTCCGGTCAACCTGTAGAGAAAAGAATGGTGATCACGGTGATATAAAAATTGCATCAAACGGAGGCCGGGAAGGGCCTCGTCAGAGGCAAAAACCGAGAGGGGGCGCGGCGGCGCCGCTGGTCTTCGGCCGCGTATTCCGGCCGTTTGGCCGGGATTTTGGCTTCGATTTGGCCACAGGAGGAATCAGCGTGGAAAAACGAGTCGGGGGTATGAAATTTACCTCGATCGGCGGTCGGAAATTTCCCCGGTGCGGCGGCGGGTGGCGGCGGTCGGCCTCTGGGTTCGTCTTCTCCGGCGAGCGGCAGGCGGCAGGCGGCTAGGGTTTGTGGTCTGGTGTGGGGGTTCTATTTATAACCCCTTGCCCTTTGATCTCAGCCGTCCATTTTGTTTTAATCTGGGCCGTCCGTTTTTGATTAAATCTGGGCCGTCCGTGCGATTAAATCTGGGCCGTCCGATCACGCGATTGATCTGGGCCGTCCAATCGCGCCCACGCGGATCGCCAACGTGGCCCGTTCAGGAGCGACGTGGTCTTGCCACGTGGCAGGCCCCGGTTGGCCGGGACTGCTGACCGGGCCTGCTGACGTGGCTGCCGACGTGGCTTTTTTTTTTTTAATTTTCCCTCGGTCCGGGCGCTACAACTCTCCCCCCCATAAAGAAATTTGGTCCCCAAATTTGCCTCATTACTCTTGATCAAACAGATGGGGATATTGGGCCCTAAATTCTGATTCCAGTTCCCAAGTCGCCTCCCTGGGCGTGTGGTTCTGCCACATGACTTTTACAAATGATATTTCCCGGTTGCGGAGTATTCTGCTTTCTCTGTCCGTGATACTGACCGGTATTTCTTCATAAGACAAGTTCTCTCGGAGTGGAAGCGGTTCGTGAGCCAAGATATGAGAAGGGTCCGGATTGTACTTACGTAGCATAGATACATGAAACACATTATGAACCCGGGAGAGCTCAGGAGGCAGTGCAAGTCTGTAGGCAGTGGTACCAATCTTGTCTAAGATTTCAAAGGGTCCAATATATCTGGGGTTTAATTTTCCCCTCCTACCGAACCTGCTAATTCCCTTGAAGGGGGTGACTTTAAGAAACACCCGGTCGCCTTTCTCAAAGGCCAGGTCCCTTCTCCTGGTATCGGCATAACTCTTCTGCCTACTCTGAGCTGTCTGGATGTTCTTCTTGATCTTAACTATCTTGGACGTGGTTTCTTCTACCAAATCCGGGCCAAACAATCTTCTATCGCCCACTTCCTCCCAACAGATCGGCGACCTGCACGGACGCCCGTATAGCGCCTCGTATGGGGCCATGCCGATGCTCGCTTGGTAGCTGTTGTTGTAAGCAAACTCTATCAGGGGTAGGTGGTCGTCCCAATGGCTCCCGGAGTCAAGGACACAAGCTCGGAGCATATCCTCCAGCGTACGAATTGTCCTCTCTGATTGTCCATCGGTTTGGGGGTGGAAGGCAGTACTAAGAGACAGCTTTGTTCCCATAGCTTGCTGGAAACTATTCCAAAACCGAGAAGTGAATCTGGGATCCCTGTCGGATACCACTGTTACTGGAACTCCATGTAGTCTGACTACCTCCCGGATATACATCCTTGCCAACTTGTCCAAGGGATCAGTCATTCTGATGGCCAGGAAGTGGGAAGACTTAGTGAGTCGGTCAACAATTACCCATATAGCATCATGTCCCGATCGTGCCTTGGGTAGTCCCGATACGAAGTCCATGGTGATATGTTCCCACTTCCACTCCGGAATCGGTAAGGGCTGAAGTAACCCGCCCGGGCGTTGATGTTCTGCTTTGACCTGCTGACATACCAAACATTTAGATACAAAGTCGGCTATATCTCTCTTCATCCCATTCCACAAGAACCGAGGTCGCATAGTTTGGTACATTTTCGTACTTCCTGGATGCATGGCGAACCTTGAACGATGGGACTCTGTCATGATGTCTCTTCTTAACTCACTGTCGTCTGGGACACACACTCTGTCCCTGAAACGAATCAATCCGTCGGCAGAGATCTGAAATTCTGAGTTCACTCCCTGTTCTGCATCCTTCTTGCGGGTTACTAGGGCGGGGTCGATTGACTGAGCTTCCTTTATTCTTTGGATTAACTCGGGTTGGACTGCTAGATGGCTCAAACATGTGGCCCTCTTCAGATCTTGCAGTCGAACCTGCTGCGTGGCCCCAATGGACCTACATTCTGAAACCATCAGATGGGCCAGGGTGCCTGCACTTTTTCTGCTGAGGGCATCGGCTACTACGTTGCCCTTACCTGGATGGTATAGGATGTCACAATCATAGTCCTTGAGGAGTTCCATCCACCTTCTCTGACGCATGTTGAGATCCTTCTGAGTGAAGATGTGCTTCAAACTCTTATGATCGGTGTAGATCTGAAAGGTCTCTTCATACAAATAATGGCGCCAGATTTTCAGGGCGTGTATGATTGCGGCAAGCTCCAAGTCATGGGTAGGATAGTTCTTCTCATGATTCTTTAGCTGTCTAGACCCATATGCTATAACCTTTCCATGCTGCATCAAGACACAACCCAGACCCAGATAGGAGGCATCGCTATAAACTGTATACCCTCCTGATCCACTTGGTAGAGCCAGCACGGGTGTAGTAGTCAGTCGCTTCTTCAATTCTGAAAAACTCCTCTCGCAGTTCTCATTCCATTCAAACCTTGCATTCTTCTTTGTGAGTCGGGTTAGAGGAGCTGCTAGACTAGAGAACCCTTCAACAAATCGGCGGTAATAACCTGCCATCCCTAGGAAACTGCGAATTTCCTTAACTGTTGTCAGCCTTTCCCAACCAAGTACCGCTTCAACCTTTTCGGGGTTCACCGATACCCCTTCCTTCGATATAACATGTCCTAGGAAGGCGGTTTGCTCGAGCCAAAATCCACACTTGCTCAACTTTGCATACAACTCCTTTTCCCTGAGTACCTGTAGGACTTGGGCAAGATGACGAGCATGTTCTTCTCTACTTTTTGAGTAGACTAAGATATCATCGATGAACACGATGACAAATTGATCCAAGAACTCTCTGAAGATTCTGTTCATTAGATCCATAAAGATGGCCGGGGCGTTGGTTAGCCCAAACGGCATAACCAGGAACTCGTAGTGTCCGTACCTGGTTCGGAATGCCGTCTTGGGGATATCCTCCGCTCTTACCTTTACCTGATGGTAACCTGATCGTAGATCTATTTTAGAAAAGATCTGTGCACCCTGCAACTGATCGAAAAGGTCATCAATCCGAGGAAGAGGATATTTGTTCTTGATTGTTACCTTGTTTATCCTTCTGTAATCAATGCACAGTCTCAACGTTCCATCTCCCTTCCTTGCAAAAGTAACCCCGGCACCCCATGGGGAAACACTGTGCCTAATGAAGCCACTGTCTTGTAGCTCAGTGATCTGTTTC